CCCCCCCCCCCCCCCTCAGCAATGTTACCCTGACACAAGGCCAGGAGTAGCTGTGCCTCTCTGCTTTGGGGTTGACTTCTTTCTTCAGGTCTCAGGAACAAAGGGTAGGGTAGGTAGCTGGAGACAATTCTGCCTCAGTTGGGGGGCAGGTAGCTTTGGCAGAGCAGCTGTAAAGCTAGTGTGTGAACTGTAAGAGCAGGCAAAGGGCCTGGGGCCGAAGTTCGGCTCCCTCCCTACAATTGAAGAACTGCCATTACCCTCATTTAATAGGTGAGGTTATGAAGGCAAGTGGCAGAGCAGGAGTTGAAATGGATGTTCAGCTACTCTCCTGGTACATACCAGGGCATCTGGACCCAACAAGGGAGGGATGGCATGATGAGGATCACCTGGAAGTTGTAGAATAACCCCAGTTCTGCTAGATGTGCCAAAGACCCTGTCCAGCCCCTCTGGGGATGGTGGCACCTCAGGCCTGGCTCTGTGGAGGACTTGGAAAATCAGAGCTGTTTTTATAATTATTCCAAGGTTGCCAAGAATTCTCATTCCCCAAGTCCTTTTTCTTAATTCATTTTTTTTTTTAAATTTAGAACTATTTTAAAACCCAGAGTGGCCTCCTTATGTTACAATCCCAGTCCAAGATCTGACACTTTTACATCCAAATGGGATGTCCCAACTGGATCCCAAATGCCCTCCTGGGCTCAGAGGACCCAGGTCTGGGTCCTGAATCTTTATTCAGGACAAGATCCTGGACATACCTGAGGTACCCAAGATAAGATAGGCTCTGCTTGCTCCCAAGACCCAGAGGAGCCCTCCCTGGACAACAAGGGGTGATCCTCAGAGAGACAGATTCAAACAGGGCCCAGGCATATTGCCTATAGATGCTGAATCTGTGTCTAGGCTAGGGCCACAGGCTCCCCTCCTAAACACCTTCTTGAGAAGCAAGGTCTAGGGCCCCTGAGAAGCAAGGTCCAGGATCCCCTGAGGAGGGGAGTGACCATGAGGCTAACAATCCCCTGGAGCTCTTAGTGCAGAGGACTTGCTCTCAATACTGTGGTTGCTACCACAGCTGCTGTTGCTGAATCCTGGGAATTCTCCCATGGGCTGAGCTGGCTGTGGACACTTACCATGTAGGATGCTCATATGGGGTGAGGTTGCAAGAAAACTGACAGAGTTGCTGCCTCAAAGAGGGAACCATAGATGATGTCTGAGCTGATAGGGGCTAGAGCCACAGAGGCTCTTTGGCTGCAACGGGAGCTTGCTGGGTATGTGCCCAGCCTGGGCATCTTGGAGAATTACTAGCATCCATGGGTCTCTGCACCAACTCTGAGGACATCCTCAAAGGCAGAATGTACTGCTGGTGGGTCATGATTCGGGGAGAGGGAAAGCAGTGCGCCTCTTTGAGCATGAAGCATTCTGGCACTTGTCCCCTAGTCACAGCAGGGCTTGGGGAAGGCATTTGTCCCTTTTGGAATCTTATCTGTCACAAACCCTAGGACAGACATTAGATGCCACACAAGTGCTCTGAAGCTTGTTTCCTCCCCTGCAAAATGAAAATGACATGATGTGAGCCACATTATATCATTTCAAATTTTCCTATATCAAAAATGTAAACAGAAAGTCTTTTGTTTCATTTTGTTTTAGTGCAGGAGATTGAACCTAGTGTCTCATGCATGTTAAGCATATGTCAAATAAGTTACTTTAATAATATATCTCAGAACTTGAGGTGGAGCTCAGTGGTAGAGCAATTGCACAGTGTATCTAAGGCCTGGCTTTAATCCCCACCATTGCAACAACAAAAAACAACAATTGGGGGCTGGAGAAATGGCTCAGCAGTTAAGAGCACTGACTGCTCTTGCAGAAGACCCGGGTTCGATTCCCAGCACCCACATGATGGCCACAAACCGTCCTTAACTCTAGTTCTAGGGGAATCTGAAGTCCTCTTCTGACCTCCGCGACATTGCATGACACTGGTACACTCACATATATGCAGGCAATATTCTCATACACATAAAATAAAAATGATAAAATATTTAAAAACAATATATTTTATTTTAACTTAATGTTATTCACATCATATCCATTTCATGTATCATCAATATAACCTATTATTGAGATAGTTTACATCTTTTTCCTGTACTAGCCTTTGAAATCTAAGCTGTGTGGTACACTTACAGCCTGTGTCCATTCAGATGAATTGCATTTCAAGTGCTCAAGAGCTATATGTAGCTAGTGGGGACTATATTGGCTATAGTCCTAAATGGATATTACTCCTTACAGAGTCATCTGCTGATGCATTGTCTGAGAGAGCCCTCTGACTGGACCTGAAACCATGTGAAGCAGTGGCAGGAAGGAGTCAGACCTACTCCAGGGTTTTGTCCTCATTATAAGAGCAGTCTTAGGTATATAATGCCAAGTTGGCTCCCTTGCCAGGCCTTCCTCATCCAGGAAACATCTCCATCCTCCCAGCTTTGCTCCAGTCCTGCTGGCTCTGCCTCAGTCACCTGGTAGAACCTTTGCTTGTTCCGGGGTAGAAAGGCCAAGACCTGGCAAGGAGCTGACCAAAAAGGGCTGTTGTAAATTAGCTGGGCGGTGTCTCTGAGAAAGGCCCTTCCTGGGTTGAGGAAACTTGATTAGAGTGGGAGGATTTGCTAGGGGAGTAGCCCTGAGCAAAGTGTCTGGCAACCCTGGAGAGGGATAAATTCTCAGCTGTAGAGCTCGCAGCAGACAGTGCAGCAAGGCCTGGCTGGCTCTGGCCCAGCATGGATTCACTAAGAGGAGGTACAGGGCCAGGGACTCAGAGGTTCTTGGGCTTTGGGGACTACCAATGCCAGTTAGAGATTTCCCTGCTGGCCAAGGGCCATGGAGGGCCCAGAAAGTCTAAGAATGGCTGAGGGCTTTTGACTTGTAGGAAGAGGACCTTTCCCAAGGCTCAGGAAGCACCAGGCATCACTTGGCGAACATCTTCCTTCCACCATGGAATTTCAGTACAAAGTCTGACCAGATGCCATCACTGGCTCCCTGTGGTGTCGACGCAGTCATGTCTGGGCC